AGTAGGAAGTTTCAACTTTCAAATTCTATAGAAAACCCTTGAATCTGAAAACTCTGAAAATTTCATTCAGATTGCTTGAAACACTGAGTTTTACCGGCTTGCTACAGGTGGAACAAAAAATTGAAGTTACCGCTCTAGTGCATTCTCTGCTTTCAAAATTTGTAACTTTTAATCTGACGCCAGTTAGAACTTTCAACTTTCAAATTGTATAGAAAAGACTTGAATCTGAACACTTTGAAAATTTCATTCAGATTGCTTGAAACACTGAGTTTTACCGGCTTGCTACAGGTGGAACAAAAAATTGAAGTTACCGCTCAAGTGCCATTCTCCGCTTTTAAAATTCGTAACTTTTAATCTGACCCAAGTAGGAAGTTTCCACTTTCTAATTCTATAGACAACACTTGAGTCTGAAAACTCTGAAAATTTCATTTACATTGCTTGAAACACTGAGTTTTACCGGCTTGCTACAGGTGGAACAAAAAATTGAAGTTACCGCTCAAGTGCCATTCTCCGCCTTTAAAATTTGTAACTTTTAATCGGACGCTAGTAGGAAGTTTCAACTTTCAAATTCTATAGAAAACACTTGAATCTGAAAACTCTGAAAATTTCATTTAGATTGCTTGAAACACTGAGTTTTACCGACTTGCTACAGGTGGAACAAAAAATTGAAGTTCCCGCTCTAGTGCATTCTCTGCTTTCAAAATTTGTAACTTTTAATCTGACGCCAGTTAGAACTTTCAACTTTCAAATTGTATGGAAAAGATTTGAATCTGAACACTCTGAAAATTTCATTCAGATTGCTTGAAACACTGATTTTTACCGACTTGCTACAGATGGAACAAAAAATTGAAGTTACCGCTCAAGTGCCATTCTCCGCTTTTAAAATTCGTAACTTTTAATCTGACCCAAGTAGGAAGTTTCCACTTTCGAATTCTATAGAAAACACTTGAATCTGGAAACTCTGAAAATTTTATTTACATTGCTTGAAACACTGAGTTTTATCGGCTTGCTACAGGTGGATCAAAAAATTGAAGTTACCGCTCAAGTGCCATTCTCCGCCTTTAAAATTTGTAACTTTTAATCTGACGCAAGTAGGAAGTTTCCACTTTCGAATTCTATAGAAAACACTTGCGTCTGAAAACTCTGAAAATTTCATTTACATTGCTTGAAACACTGAGTTTTATCGGCTTGCTACAGGAGGATCAAAAAATTGAAGTTACCGCTCAAGTGCCATTCTCCGCCTTTAAAATTTGTAACTTTTAATCGGACGCAAGTAGGAAGTTTCAACTTTCAAATTCTATAGAAAAC